TCATTGTTGTTTGGTGGGTCCGGGCTGGATTCGAACCCGCCACCTTAGGTGTACATGGCTGGCGCCTTAGCCGGTTGAGCTATAGGCGCCGAGCCCACAATTATCTTAAAAGGCCATTAACGTACTCTTCACTTTTCCAACCATACATCTGTATCAATTAGGCTAGATTTTTCTTATATGTTAATACTTCAATCAAAATAACATAATACAATAGATTGAATACAGATATGAGAACTGAGCTGTCTTCTATTAAAGAGATTTACAGCTGGGCAGGGCAGCTCCTGCCTATAATCCTAGCACTCTGAGAGGCTGAGGCAGATAGACTGCTTGACTTTAGGAGTTCAAGACCAGCCTGAACAAGAGTGAGACCCCATCTCTACTAAAAATAGAAAAAATTAGCTGGGCATTGCAGTGGGGGACTGTAGTCCTAGCTACTTGGGAGGGTGAGACAAGAGGAACCTCCTGAGTTGGAGGTTGCTGTGAGTTGTGACACCACGGCACTCTACTGAGGGCAACATAGTGAGACTCTACCTCAAAAAAAGAAAAAAATTATTTTTCAGGGTACACCAGTATGCTAAGGCATATCAGTTGAAGATCACTGATACACGTATTGAGTTTTATCCATGTTTGCTAGTTCATAACTACCATATCCCTTTTACAGTCTTTTTTTTATAACTTTAGGTTACACCTAAGAGCAGGTCTCAGAAAACAATCTCTTTGACCTTCATCCTGCCCTCCTTTCACCTACCATAAAGCAGGACTCTAATCTCCCCTGTCCCTGTTTTTCTGATTGTAGGTCATAAAATTCTCATTCCAAAGAGGGTCCTGCCCTATGCCCTAGAGGCTAATTATATTTCTTTTTTTATTGTTCTTTTGAGACAGTGGCTCACCTCATCATCCAGGCTACCACAGAGGCATCATTATAGCACACTGCAACTCCTGGGCTCATCCTCCTGCCTCAGCCTCCTGAGCTAAGAAAAGAAAAATCTGCTACAGAACACACAAAAAAATAGGTCCTATACCATTCTTCCTTCCTTCCCCTCAAAATTCACTTCCAATGAATTGAGGGAAGACATAATTAAGATTATCAGTTCAAATTAAGAGAAACCTAAGGAGAGATTCTGTATGAAATCAAATAGATTTGGAAACTCATATTTTCTCTGTAGGGCTTCTAGTTCAATCTGAGTTCTGTGGCTCACACCTGTAATCCTAGCATTTTGGGAGACTGAGGTAGGAGGATTTCTTGACCCCAGGAGTTCAAGACCACTCTGAGCAAGAGCAAGATCCCAACTCTATTAAAAAGAAAAAAATTAGCCAAGTGTCCAGGTAGGCACCTGTAGACCTAGCTACTCAGGAGGCTAAGGCAAGAAGATTGCTTGAGGAGTTGGAGGTTGTTGTAAGCTAAGCTGAGGCCATGGAACTCTAGCCTGGGCAATAGAGTGAGACTCTATCTCAAAAAAAACAAAAACCAGGGCTGGGTGCAATGGCTCATACCTGTTAATCCAAGGCCAAGGCAGGTGGATCACTTGAGCTCATGAGTTGGAGACAAGCCTGAGCAAAAGCGAGACCCTGTCTCTAAAAAATAGCCAGGCATTGTGGCAGGCATCTTTACTCCCAACTACTTGGGAGGCTGAGGCAAGAGGATTACTTGAGCCCAGGAGTTTGAGGTTGCTGTGAGCTATGATGCCACAGTGTTCTATCAGGGGTAAAAAGTAAGACTCTGTCTAAAACAACAACAACAACAAACTTCCAACTCAAGTTGTGCTTCTCTGCTCACCAAAGGCCTTGAGTAAACTGATAAATGACATTAATGCTGGAAAGGGCTCTGGATGCCTAAGCCAGCCTCAGAAATAGCCTGGACTGCAGAATGAGAATCTGTAGTAACAACAAAAATTAAAAAGAGGTCAGGTATGGTGGCTCACACCTGTAATCCCAGTACTTTGGAAGACTGAAGTGAGGGGGCCCCTTGATCCCAGAAGTTCAATCCTCAAGCCTGAACAAATGAGTAAGCCCCTATCTCTTAAAATAATTAAAATTAAAAAGAGTAAACAGACCAGGAGCAATGGCTTGTGCCTGTAATCCTAGCACTCTGGGAGACCGAGGTAGGAGGACTGTTTGAACTTAGGAGTTTGAAACCAGACCAAGCAAAGAGAAGCCTAGCTCTATTAAAAATAGAAAAATTGGCAGGACATGATACTTGTAGTCCCAGTTACTCAGAAGCTGAGATAGGAGAATTGCTCAAGCCCAGGAGTTTGAGGTTGCTGTGAGCTAGGCTGGGATTATGGCTCTCTGACCCAGGTAATAGGGTGAGACTGTCTCAGGAAAAAAAAAAAAGATTTGCTAATGTTTTTGTAATGATACTATATACAAATACTACTTTAAGCATTTTATACAGATTAATCTTAATAATCCTATGAAGCTGGTAAAGTTTTCATCCTCATTTTGCCTTGGTATTTATTGAACCTGCATTATATCACATTTGAAATTCCTAACCTAAAATAACATCCTTTGTGCCTCTTACCCTGGCAAATACAAAGGAAGCACTGAATTCCACAAAAACTAGATCATTGCTATCAATATATTATCCAAATAACTCAATAGTTATCAGACTAAAAGTCTGATATTTTTTTCTTCCACCAAATTCCTCTTTCAAGATATTAGCTTACTTTTTTTTTTTAATTAAGAAAGAATTGGGGCAGAGGGAATCAACATACTCTTTACAATAATAAGATCCCCAAAAAAATGATCAAAATAAATTGAATTTCCAGGGATTCTTTTAGGTACCTCTTAATTGAAACAAAGAAGTATTCAAGAAATATACCTGTTGGAGCCATCTTTCATGTGAACTTTGGCATAAAGAACATCCACCATGCCAGGATCATCATTCATGTATTCTATTCCTGCCATCTCTACTTCTAGGGGTCTGCCTCCAGAAATGTCACTGCAAAGGAAAAAACATTAAGATTTTTATAATTGTTTAAGCCAAGAGGGCTATTATATTTTGAAACATAGCTCATATACATAGTCAAATAGTACACAAAGTAACTGTATTATTTTAAAATTATCTGTCTTAATTTCAAAATTAATAAATGTTCAATGCCAAAAAATTAGAAAACACTAGAAAGTAATTCCAATGTCATATCATGTTTATCCCAATATCTGTCTCTAATAGAGACAGCCAAGGGATGACAGTTCTGATTCATAAAGACATTCACTGTGTTGGCCTATCTTTCTTCATTATTTCTAAAAGTTATGAACAGCGATAGCATACTATATACTGTATAACATATAATATAGACAATAGTAGAGATACATACTGATGTCACATCTTTAAGAGCAACCTGGCAATTTTTTTTTTTTTAGACAGAATCTCATCTTATCACCTTCAGTAGAGTGCTGTGGCATCACAGCTCACAGCAACCTCCAACTTCTGGGCTTAGGCGATTCTCTTGCCTCAGCCTCCCATGTAGCTGGGACGACACGTGCCCCCCACAATGCCTGGCTATTTTTTGGTTGCAGCCGTCATTGTTGTTTGGCAGGCCCGGGCTGGATTTAAACCTGCCAGCTCAGGTATATGTGGCTGGCGCCCTAGCAGCTTGAGCCACAGGCACCTAGCCGTTCTTTTAAGATTTAAATGACAGGCTCGGCGCCTATAGCTCAACCGGCTAAGGCGCCAGCCACGTACACCTAAGGTGGTGGGTTCGAATCCAGCCCGGACCCGCCAAACAACAATGACGGCTGCAAACAAAAAATAGCCAGGCGTTGTGGCAGGCGCCTGTGGTCCCAGCTGCTTGGGAGGCGGAGGCAGGAGACTCGCTTGAGCCCAGGAGTTGGAGGTTGCTGTGAGCTGTAATGCCACAGCACTCTACCCAGGGGGACAGCTTGAGGCTCTGTCTCAAAAAAAAAAAAGATTTAAATGACACATTTTTTATTGACTGAGAACCAAAAAGGTTTCTCTTCTCAAAAATTATTATACTGCTTTTTATCAAGTAAGAACTACAATAATTTGGTGTGTTTATTTTGGAATTTAGTTCAAGTACGCTAGTACCAGAAAATAGCACCAAATTTTAAGACTCAAACACAATTAACATCTCACCTTGACTTTCAGGTAGAATTTTCTCCCCATTCTATCCTTAGATAGAATGTCTCAGGCTTCTGATGTCTCTGACTTTAGCATTTCTTTTATAAATATATCCTTACCCTAAACTACCTCAAATCCTTGGAATGAGCTGGAATACTAAGAACAAAAAACCAAATGAAGTAATGAAACAGGATCTGAAACCTGCTCTTTGAGTAGTAGATACAAATTCTTTCAATCTGTACCCAAAGTTTATTACGAGGGAGATTAAAGGGCAGAACAGACATCCAGCCATTTGCCTGATAAATGCTCTTTGTCTTGGGGGTCAAACTGTTCCACCTGGGACACCTATGAGCACACCTTCCAACTGATGACACCCAAGGCAATAATTAGGCATTAACAATTGTTCCTGGGTATTTTCTCTCCTTCCTTCTCTCCAGTTTTTTGTCTCTTAAACTCCTCCTCTGGTCTGACCTCAGGCTTATTGGGAACACTTAATGACTGGAGCGTGATGCTGGAGCTTAAAAAGAGCTGCACATTTATCCGACTCTGTACTGAGAGCCAGTGTACTGTTTGTGTCCTACATCTCACACAAAAGAGTCACAAGGGACACGGAGCTTCAGGATTTACTAAACACTGAATAATTCATTCAAAATCTATAGAACTACATGAGCCTTTAGCTGAAAAATTAAAATGAAAATGCTGTTTCTCGTCAGATAGCATCCTTTAAATTAAAACTCTACCCCCCAAATTTATAAAAAAATATTCAACTACTCATTTCTTTAAAACAGCTGCATAGCACTGCAGTTTTAATCAAATTCCCATATAGCCACATTTTAATATTCCAATTTAAAAAGCCATCAGCTTAAACTACAGCTCACTATGTACTGGCCTATTCATTCTTCAATGTTTTCTTTTTCATAATTTAATTAGAGATCTTTACAACATAAAAGGTTCAGGTTAGAAATGTCATTATTTATTGACATTCTTTCTAAGTATACCAAGTGCAAAGGCTAAGACCAAAGATCAAAAATAAAGATCAAAGAGCAAGAAAAGAATTCAGGTGGTATAATTTACCAGTTTATTCATGAGGGCTTTAATAGAAGTGCCTTTTTTTTTTTTTTGAGACAGTGTTTCATTCTGTTTCCCAGGCACGAGTGCCACAGTGTCAGTTTAGCTCACAGCAATCTCAAACTTCTGAGTTCAAGGGATCCTCCTGCCTCAGCAGACACCTGGCTAATTTTTTCTATTTTTAGCAGAGATGGGGTTCTCGCTCTTCCTCAGGCTGGTCTTGAACTCCTGAGCTCAAATAATCCTTCAGCCTCAGCCTTCCAAGAGTGCTAGGATTGATTACAGGCACGAGCTACAATGCCTGGCCTTTTTTTTTTTTTAAGAAGTAAGTCTCTTCCATTTAGGAAAACAAGGTACCCCAAACCAGTCCAGAACAATCTATTCTGATTCTCATCCTCCTTCTCCGAAGTAAATTAACTTTGCACTTTTTACTTTTCATGTTCACTCCTTAAACAAGGCACATGGCAGGGGGAAGGTAGGGGAAGAGGGCTAGGGAGACTTGCTTTATATTACTTGCTGGTTTCAGATCTTTCCAGCTTTTTAAAAAGAGCATCTTCAAACACATTTTTGCAGGCACTGCAGATTTTTGGCAGAGTAACTTTGTCCTATTTCAAAAGCTTTGCTGAATTTGAAAAACTACAATTACTGTTTTCATCCTGTCATGTCAAAAATTCTTAGGGACTATTAAGATGCTCTTTATTCCCTATGCATACCATCTCTGACATGCTTACAGGGCTCCAATTTGGCACTGAGTCACAAAAGGCACCAAGAGACATAAAAGGAAGGAACTCAGCTAAATCTTCACATGGCTTAGGATAAAGCTTTAGTGATTAAAAACCTGCGACCTGCTTTTCATAAGGTAAAAAGAACAAATACTTCTCTAAACAAATATTTTATCTATCTTTAAATTTTTTCTTTGCAGGATTATCCCAATGGCTGCCAAGAAAATGCAGCAGCTTTCAGTTTAGTTTAGCCAAAAAGTGAACTGGGAATAAGTTAAAGAATCAGGACTGATCCTCAAACCAGGTAAAATTGTCCTTATTTATAAGATAAAGCATGAAGTTTTATTTTATACCAAGGAAATTGGCAAATATCTAATACAAACACCAAATTACTTTGAACTGTAGTTAAGATTGAGAGAAAACAGATATCTCCATCACTGAGCAAAGATGACAAGAAGTGGTCTTTGCTGTCTGGGATTCAAAGGACAGGCAGATTCTGCAAATCCAATCAGCTTGTGACTGTGCACAAGAATATCTTGTCTTTGAAACAATTAATGCAAAAGAATAACTGACCCACAAATAAGTCACCATATTACACAGTTTCATATATAACCTAACAAGAGAAAAAATTCAGATCACCTTGTTCCACCCAATGAACAAGGTAACCCATTTCTACAAGACAATGTTAAAATATGTATAAGTATGGGACATGTATATACTAATGGAATAAAAAAAATACTTGAGTGGTCAGTTTTCTTTATTCTTTTTTTTTTTTCTTTGCAGTTTTGGCCATGGCCAGGCTTGAACCCGTCACCCCTGGTATACAGGGCCAGCGCCCTACTCCTTGAGTCACAGGCGCCGCCCTGAGTAGTCAGTTTCCAAATTCCTCTTCTTCATTAATCTTAAGTAAAAAGAGCAAAGTAAGAGAGGCAAAGAGAGACTTCTTTGCAATAAAGCTATTATGTCAGATGTATATATAAATTAAAATCTTATAGTAAAGATGAATGACAATTCTGCTCCCAAAACAGTAACGTTTTCTCTGAGTTAAAAGAGAGTTGAGACAGGCATGGTGGTGCACACCTGCAGTCCCAGTTGCTGAAGAGGCTGAGGAGTTCAAAGCTAAGTAGGATAATCTTACTACCTATCATGGTGGAATAGCCACTAAAATCTGGGCAACAGAGAGACACTCCATTTCTAAAAAAACAAAATTATCTGTATTTTTAAAAAATAAAAATAAAATCATTGTTTCTGAAATACAATGAAGACGTTCCTAGAGAATCAGGTTATAATATTTGGGTCACTGTAGCAGGCAGAATAACGCCCCTCCCCAAAGATGGCCACACTCTACTCTCTGGAATCTGTAAAGATGCTATTTTATGTGGCAAAGAGACTTTTGTAGATGTGAGTAAGGTTAAGAAACTTGAGATGGGAGATAAAACTGGATTACCTGGGTGGGCTCAATCAAATTACATAAGTACTAAAGCAGATGGCCTGTCCTTGCTATATCACAGAGAGAGATGTGACAACAGAAGGATTGCAATGTTGCTGGAGTTGAAGATAAAGGAAAGGGGTCAGCAGCCAAGGAATGGGGGCCACCTCTAGAGGCTGGACCTTAAAAGCAAGGAAATGGATTTTTCCCAGAACCTCTACAGAAAGGATCGCTACTGTGCTGATACTTGATTTGAGCCCAATGAAACTCACATTACTCTCTGATCTATAGAACTATTAAGATAATAAATGTGTTATTTTAAGCTACTGAGTTTATAATAATATGTTATGGCAGCATAGAACACTAACACAATAGCCTATACTCTGTGACAGATAAGGAAAGTTTCCTATTGAAGAAAATAATAGAATGTCATGTTTGAGAACAAACTTTGCCTTCTGCATTACTATAACATAAGGAAGAATCTTTCCATAAATTTTATAAATATATGCTTTAAATTCATTTCAAACTTTTCAGACAATGGTCCAGTATTGAGTGTTATAAATGGGTGATTCAACAAAACTTGTTCCCAGGACAGCACCTGTGGCTCAGTGGGTAGGGAGCTGGCCCCATATACTGAGGGTGGTGGGTT